CATCTTGACCGGAAGTCCACACTCTTTTCAATCTGACATTTTTTTCTGTTCAAAATGTTTGTGAGTCATCCAAATTGTTGCTTTCAATTGTAGTTTATTCCTCATTATTGTACAATATGTTTTGTATGAATATACCACAGTTTACATACCCATTTTACTGTTGCTAGGCATTTAGGTGGTCCAGTTTAGAGCTATCCAAATAGTGCTGTGATGAACATTTACATACATTTCCTTTAGTGAACATATATATATATACTCATTTCTATAGGTTCTGTGGAATAACTGGTCATACGTTATATGTGTGATCAGCATTGGTATATAGAGCTAGACATTTTTCAAAAGGATTTGCCTGGCACACAGTTTTAGAAGAATAAAAATCATAACTCTCTAATGACAATTTCAGGTTCTGTAACAAGTATTTGGAGGTGGGTGGGGATGTGGCATATTTTGGAACAAGGAAACTTTCTACTCAACCTCAGCCATACCTGTTTATAGAGTCAGCCATGATAAAAAAAACTCTGTCATCGTTTGTTATTGTTGTTATTGTAGGTGGCAAATTATTGAGAAGCAGGTGAACTAGAGAGAAATGGTAAGATCTTTATGAAAACTCACAATTAGCTCTATAACTTTGGTGAGTTATTTTGATGTTAAAGGAAGTAAACTATGCATACCAAACAGAAAGTCAGATTTTTAAGACATCCAGTTCTTTCAAGGCCAAGAAAATCTATATAGGAACAACAACAAAAAAAAGACAGGAAAAAAAGACTTCATGGACTGGTCCTTGTCTACGGCTCTACCTTCTCTGTCTTGCTACTACCCTGGTGCCCTCTACACGCCTCCTGTTCTGAACTACTTTCATTTCCGACAAAGTCACCGTGTGTCTTTTGCTTCTATGCTTTTGTACAGACTGTTCTGCCTCAGCCTGGAATGCACTCCTGCCCTCTTCCTCCTTCACCAAACTTGAACTTACTGCCCAGCCATGGGTTAGGCCTCATCTCCTTCCGGACGACATTCCTAAGGGAGGTGCCTATTCTCTCTGCCCCTGGGTCCCCTCCTCTGGTCGTATTTCAGTTCACGCTGTAACTGCCTGTCTACTTGTACACTCCCCAGCTATAAACTAACATCTTGAGGGCAAGGACTGTGTATTCTTTATAATAGTACAGTGACATCTGTTGGATAAGTGAATTTTAAAAGTCTTTGGATATGTTACACACCCTGGGTATCAGTGTGATGACTGCCCATTGCCACGTTAAGAAGAGTTGTCCTGAATTCTGGGGCCCTACATACTCGTTGTTCTTGGGAGTCGCACCATTTCTGTGCTGGTCTCCCTGGCATCTCTGAAATTGCTGCTCCTTAGAGCTTTTGGTATTTCCTGCCAACTTCTGGTTAAATTATTACAGACTGCCTCACCCTGTGTTCAGAAATCGAAGGGTCAAAAGAAGAAGAAATTCTTGTAGACAGAAATGTGTGTTTCTGGAAATCTCCCTACCTGTCTGAGACTCTGAAATGTATTTTAGACCGATGTGCAGAACAGAAGGCCTGCTTCTGAATTAGGGAACCTTTCATGGGCTATGTGTTCTTCTTATACTATACTGCTGATGAGGAGGAGACTAGCCCAGGTTTCAATCTGTGCATCGTAGAATGAATAGGATACAAGAGCTTTCTTTTTTTCATGTGGTAGAATTTGAAGCATCATTCCTTGGCATTTTTACTTTATATAAAAGCAATATTCTCTTCCCCCAAAGATGCAGTCACATTTTTGCTTCTCTTTGCAAGGTTTTAGTATAATTTGAGCAGTTTTCTCCCCAATCATAGCTAGAAAATGCCTTTTCTGGTTTCTTTATCACTACTGCAATGCTTTCCTCTGCTGGAATGTTGCAACTTTGCTTTCTTATCCTCACTAGAGTGTGTGATTCGGTGGAACTGTATCAGCAATGACATCACCACCACATTCACTTTGGTGGTTGACATTAGGTTATCAATGGAAGCATTGTGAAAACCCCTACAGGGTCAAGACCCATTTGGTTCAGAGGGTTTGTGAATTCTCAAAGGCCATGCTTCACAGGCTGTGAAGAGAACCTCAAATATTATGTTCTTAAGTTCAGTACTGCTATTAAACACTTCAGTTCACTTCTCCTTGGGGTTTGGATTGAGAAAGAATAGATACAAAAACAAAGACAAATGACAGAATACATTCTCTTTAATGATGTGTTACATCAGATAAAATTATCTGAGAACTAATTGTTCTCAATCTTGGCAACCCACTGAGTTCCAAGAAGACCTATCGAAATGATAGGAACAGCACAGCCCTGGAAGTATTGGTAGCTGCTTTTGACACACAGGAATGTATTTGTTTTGTGTACAGCTCTCCAAGGGTAGGATGGACATAACACCTCCAGCCAAGGCTATCTCCAGACACTGACCAGGGATCATTATTCTAAAAAGCTGCAGAGGTACATCTTAGTCTCAACCTGGACAAATCAGTCACTTTGTATCTTTATCAAATCTGTGTTCAGAGATTTTCACCATGGTTTTGTAAAATACCAGATGATGGTTCTAATTATGGGCAGATAAGGAATTACCTAAGATGAAGGCTGACTTCTTCAAGTCCTCTTACTCTGAAATATCTCCCCGTCATCGTCTGCTGAAGAGGGCCTGGAATTCCCAGGCTTTGAGACTTTGATTCAGGTTAAAATATAGTCTACAAAAGATTCCCACAAGAGGTCCCCACTAAAGCCTTTTGATAGAAAGGAGAAGGCATCGGGTGTAGCCCTATCCCATCAAACTCATTAACAATAAACACATACAAATGTATTGGTTTGGGTTCTGGGTTTGGTTTGGCTTGGTTTAAATATTGTGTGGGATTTACTGGAAACACTAGTGTCATCTCAGAACCAGGGAAGATGATATGTAACAAACTGGTAAAATTTAGTTCTTCCACTGCCTAGAGACTGGTCCCACTTCTTAGGGTAGCACGAACACCAAAGACACAATCCGGAAGCAGTGTGGCCCCGCAGAACAGAACCCTTGGGTCAGCGAGCAGGTGAGGACACAGGTGTTGGGAAGGTAGTTTAGAAGGCAATTGAAATCATACTATAATAGTTTGGGGAAAAGAATCCGAAAAGAGACAGCACAATCCCTAGGCTGGGTTGTGGGACGTCAGGCAAGACGCTCAGTTTGTCTTCTTTGTATTGTTGCTGAAATGGCTTCCACGTCCCACCAACTTTAAGGCGAAGCTTATGATCACTTTAGTATGTTGCATGTTGTGTGATCGGGGAAACAATGAACCTCATCATTTTTCTGATGATGTTTTTTGTTGGATCCACTGCCCCAGGCACTTGAAAAGCCCATGTTTTACTTTAGAATTTAGGCTCTGATCAAACATCTATTAAAATTACAGCTATCTTTAAAACATCTGTTTTTCCCTAGCTCTCAACTTTTACCCAAACGTATCGATCAGCCCAAACGTACCTGAACGCTGGTTTGGCTCAGCGGTTAGAGCATCGGCCCACGGACCAGAGTCCCAGGTACAGTTCCCACTAAGGGCACGTACCTCGGTTGCAGTTTGTCCCCGGCCCCGATTGGGGTTTGTGGGTGGCAGCTAGTTGATGTGTCTCTCTCACATTGATGTTTCTCTCTCTTTCTCCCCCCTCTCTCCCTCCTGCTCTATCTGAAAGTAAATGCAAAAATGTCCTCTGGTGAGGATAAAAATATATATATATATATAAATAAATAAATATATATATATATACACACATATATATATGTGTGTGTGTATATATATATATATATATATATCGATCAAATGTGTAAGCCAGGAACAAAAGTGTGATGTGGGTCGTACCCCTGAATTCATATGTTCAGTTTATGAGCCTATGAAGTAGGTGGCTGGAACTCTCCAAAGCCTTAACATATTCTGAGGCTGGACTTACACTTTTGTATAGGCTTCTGAGGCAGGAAAATGTGGAGGCAAAGACGGGGTGTTGCCATTCTGAGCCTGTTATCTTGCTTGGCCTCCTTGTCAGGTACAGCACCAATCTGCTGGCCGTGGTGTGGCTCATGCCTCGTTTGCAGGGGGTGCTTTTTCCTGGGGGGGGGGGGGCGATCCTTCTTTATGGGCACAAGTAATAAATCTTGTTTTCTATTAGATTTTGTTTGAATCTTTATAAAAAGGGATTTTACAGTAGTCTCAGTTAAATACATATAAGGAAAAAAGAAACCACATCCACCTCTATGACTCCTAAAACATAAGAAGTATCTATTGAACTCACGATTTTGCTTCTTTCAAATAAACATAGTCACAACGGTATCCTAGCTCTTTGGAGAAAAGCCACCAAATAAATCTAATAAAAGCTTAAAGTTCTTACTTTTAATCCATGGTTTGTAAAGGAGCTTTACATGTTTTTGATGGTCTGTTTATTCTGCACTTTCAAATCAAATTTCCCTGACCAAAAGGAAAAAAAAAATCCAATACAACTACGGTTAGTTCATTCTGAAAAAAAAGCCAGAAATTCAAATAAAACATTTGTGGTTAAAAGAATACATGTCAAATTTGATACTTACAAAGGGGGAAATCACAATTAATAAACAGAAATTTCTGAGATCTAATAAAAATACACACCATGTAAAATAGCAACCAAATTTAGTAATCTGTTTAATTCCCAATGTAGCTTTTCTGTGTGTCCAGGAACATATTTTTGGGTGTAGCTGGGCAGTGGGAAGACAGTGGAGGCAGAAGACCAGGACCTCATCCAGCTCCCTAAATACCAATTCGAGCGTTTTTCTTTAAGCCTATAAATGAGAAGTGCTCGTTTTTAAAGCGATGATGAAAGAACAAAAGGCGCTGTGAGACCCTCCTCTGGCCTGGGGTGCTTGAATGCATGTGTGTAGAAGAGAAAAAATTCACTGGGGTTCACATGCGAAGATGTATTTACCTGTGGGTGTGTCGGCTACGAAACTGCCTTAGATTCCTGACTTGGGTGTACACTGTCCTTTTGCAGCCATCCCTACATCACAGAATGAAGACTTTTCTTGCGAGGATGTGGCCCAACAGCTACCAGTCGTGACTCTCAGAGACAGGAAGTGGAGCATGAGCCACTTCGGCTGACGAGGCAGGTCGAACGCCTTCTACAGAGTAATGCTGACAGTCCCTTGGATTGCACACGTCAGCCTTTCTGCTCTAACCTCTCATCATCCTAGCTGATGTCACATTTGCACTCGAGACTCCGGACTCACAGCATTGCATGTTTCCAGAGATGCAAGAAATGAGAAATTCCAAGCTCCCTGTATTCCCAGAGCTAATACTATGGCTCTGAAAAAAAAGGTAATTTATAATTTGACCCTGAGAACAGAATGGAGGTTGGTCAATGAGGTTAATTTAATATGACCCACTAGTTGTAGTGTATCTAATCCCTTCTTCCATGATCTTCAAGTCCAGTCTATCAATGTGCAGGGAACTCTGCTGCCTAAGTTTGCATCATACCTCTTTTAGTCTTAGTCAGCCTAGCCCCTAGCCCCTTCAGGCACTGAGAAGACTCATTCATTCTCAAATTCCAGGACAGGAAGAACAAGCCTTTTTTTTTTTTTAATCCTCAGCAGAGGACATTTTTCCATCCAGCTTCAGAAAGAGTGTGAGGGGGGAGAGAGAGAGAAACGTGGACGTGAGAGAGACACATGGACTGGTTGCCTCCTGCACGACCTGACTAGGGCTGGGGATGAACCGCAACCGAGGTACGTGCCCTTGACCAGAATCGAACCTGTGGCTCTTTGGTCTGTGGTCTGACGCTCTAACCACTGAGCCAAACCGGCCAGGGCTGCACAAGTCTATTTTAATCAGGTATTATTATCCTTCATTATTTCAGAGACTTTGATAATCTCACCTTTAAGTTCATAAATGTATTCCAAACAGCCCCCCTGAAAGCCCCTGATTCCCCCAGAGCTGAGCTAACCCCTCTTGGGCTTCTCTCTGGCCCTGCGTCAGCCCAGAGCACCATATCGATGACAGTTTAATAGGTCAAATCAGCTGAATGGATGCAAAATATGAAATGCTTAGCTTTCTTCAAAAACTTTATAGGTATGGCTACTCAGAAGGGGGCGGCTGACAGTAGAATGGAAGGAAAGGGAAGGTATAAATGCGGAGAGAGGAAGGAGAAACTTGGAGAGCTGGGTGGGACAGGAGCAAGGACTCGGATCTGGAGACAGTGGTAAGCAGGAAGCCAAAAACCCGGGAAGTGGGGAGATGGAGGACCAAGTGAAAGACGAGAAAAAGCACAGACCACGTTTTCAGTCATTCTTCTCTCAAGGGCTGAGTTGTCTCACAGAGTTTCATTGCTGTCCCATCTCAGCCGAGTTCAGACATATTTGTCCCCAAAATGCATCCTAGAACTTCCTGGGTGAAGAGACCGCCAACCCTCATCATGACAGCCTCTTGCTCTGAGCTTCAGTGGAGTTTTAATGACAGTTGAGGGCGTGTGTGCTGTGTGTGTGTCCACATTTTTAACAATTTGTGGGCTATACAATAGAATGATGGGAACCATCAGATTCTCCCACAAAATGCCCTCCGACGATAGATGTGCTACACTGGGTTTGGATTATAATAGCCACTGCTCCCCTGTTCACAAAGATGATCTTATTTCATCTCAGACCCTGAGGAAGATGCACCGTTTTATAGACTTCCATTCTACAGATCAGGAAGCCCAGGCTTAGAGAAATTGTATAATTTCTCCCAGCCAGTAAGTGCTAGAGCCAGATTTCTGTGTTTTAAATTGCAAACTTGATAAAGAGTATGTATTTGTCTAATTTCTAAGCCCTGGTACAGCATAAAGAATGAAGGCAAAGTCAACAAATGCTTGACAGTTTTGTAATCAAGTTGGCCATCTTTTCATTATTAGAAATGGGTTTGGAGTCTTTTTAATTATGCAGTGATCATGTCTCTCCTGACACCAACATTAACATCTTAATGAAACCAGTGGGTTTACTGACCCTTCTCAAGCAGAGTCTGCACCGTCTTCTACAAGTCACCGGAGAATAAAAAGAGCACTATCATCTCTAACAAGGACCTTTGTATAAAAGGGCCAATTGAGACCCATACTTATAGATCTCTTTCATTGAATCCCTCCTTTTTATAACATCCTTAATGTCATCATCTAAGGACAATCGAAAACCCCATTCTTTTCTTGCTCTTCTTCATGAAGCCCAGCTGGGCAGAGTACTCCCATTGAATTCAAGAGAGGCTTAATGCTTGGATCATTCTAAAGGGTTAGATTATAAACTGACCACGATTCAGTAAAAAGAAAGGATTCAAATTTTTTTTTTTTTTTTTAACCTTTTATTTTTTTTTTCTTTTTTATTTATTTATTTATTTATTTTTTTTTTTTTCTGTTTATAGGATTCAAATCTTAATTGGAAAAGTCTGCTGCATTCTCTCACACTTGAACTTGTACCCAGCACTTGTATGTAGAAAAAAAAAAAAAAATCCAGAATGGTAATAGTGTGATCAATTTTTGCAAAGGAAGAACATTTAAAACTGCCCAAATATTTTTCTCTCAACAAACGTACATTAAAGTGCCCTGTGAGGGCATTATACTAAGTGAAACAAACCAGACAGAGAACTACCGAGCAGAATTGAGACAGACTCGTAGACAGAGAGCAGGCAGACGGCTCTGGTGGGCCAGGGGGAGGGAGGGAGGGAGGGACTGAGCAAAGAGAGAGAAAAAGAGAGAGAACGCATGGACATGGACAAAAGTGTGGTGATTGTGGGGGTGAAGGTGGAGGGGTGGAGGGGTGGAGGTGGAAGAGGGCTAAGAGGGGATAAATGGTGATGGAAAAAATAAAATAAAACATACATTTATTTATTTATTTATTTATTTATTTATTTATTTATTTTTTATCCTCACCCGAGGACATTTTTCCATTTTTTGTTCAGGTAGAGTAGGAGGGGGAGAGAGGAACAGAGAGAGAGAGAAACATCGACGTGAAGGGACACATCGAGTGGCTGCCACCCGCACGACTGACCAGAGCCGGGGACAAACTGCAACCGAGGTACATGCCCTTAGCGGGAACCGAACCCGGGTCTCTCCGGACCGCAGGCCGACACTCTAACCGCTGAGCCAAACCAGCCAGGGCAAAATAAAACATACATTTAAAAAGAGATACAAATGATCTGAGGATCTAAATAGAACATGGTAACTAGAGTTGACAGTGCTGTGTTGTATAATCAAAATTTGCTAAGAGAGTAGAACTTAAACGTTCTTACAAACACACACACACAAATAAATATGCGGAGTGAAGGCTGTGTTAATTAACTAGATGGTGGGAAGCGCTTCACGTTGTAATTGTGTATTAAGTCACCACGATGTGCACTTTAAATATCTTACAATTTTATTTGTCAGCTATACCTCAGTAAAGCTGGAAAAAAAGATAAAATGCCACTATGTTAATGTTAAACTTTCTGGTTCTGAACTGTATCATAGTATCTCTGTTGCTAGATTAAACATTTCAAAATAACAATACCTTTTACTGAAATCTTAGCCTAAAGTGGACATAAACTTGCATTTTAACTTTTTTGTATGTCTGGTCTCTGCTGAAACTGGTCGTTAAATTTCTTAGTCTCTCATTAGCTTTAATTTTGCTCATGTTTATCAAGCATTTTCTACAGGCCAGAGTCATACATGCTTCTGACTGATCACTTTTCTTTAGTCTCCACACCAGTGCCATGAGCTAAGAAGCACCTTCTCCCATATTTTGCTGATGAAGGAACTGAAGCTTACATGTCACAGTAGTTAGCATAGGATGGGAACAAGACTGAGCCACCAGTTTGAGGCCACAGCCCACAGTTTTCACCCACTCTGTGCGGTGACCTTCCTTAGCTGCCTCTTTCGATCTTCCAGACCAGTAGAGCCCTGGCACTAGCTGAGGTCTGAGGAGCCCTGCTCCATGCAGCCAACAGATGGCCTACGTATGCTAGGGGACTTGGGAGGTGATACTAAATGACATGTTGCTCTGTCCTGGTATGGGGGCATCACCTTTCCTAGGATAGCTCATCATAAAATCATAATCAAGCCATTAGAATTGTTGTAAAATGAACCCAGAAGGCTGCCTAATCCCACTTCTCTCTCTAGAGTAGACCGGCTAACACACAGAGCAGTAGGGGTGCATTTTTCCTCTGGTCTGAAACACAGTGTGACTTAATAGCAAGAACACTGGTCTGAGCAACAGAGGATTAGGGGGTTCATCCCTACAAAGTAGATTTGTCAGGACACTTTTCCTCTCTGGACCTAATTCGTTCACCAGTGGTAGCAAGGGAATCGTTCACTCATTCATTCATCAGTGCAGATTTATTAAATGCTTTATTAGTAACCAAGCCCCATGCTAGATGTTGAGATATCAAGACTGGAAAAGGTATTTATTCCCACCTAGTTTATAGTTTAGGCAGGGGAAAATGGTAAGAAAGTACTTGTAGTTCTGAACCTGCGGGTGGCGAGTGAAATGATGGAAGTATGCAGAACATTCTGCCGCAGCACCTGGGAGGAACCCAGCCCAGGCACGAGTGAGTGTTCAGGCAGCTTCCTGGAGAAGAGTGAGAACCGACAGGAGTCCTGGAAGGATGGGAACGAGTTACCCAGACAGAGAGGTGGGAAAAGCGGGAGGGAAGGAAGGGGAAAGAGTCCTCCAGGAGGAAGGAAGGACAATGAACAGAGTCTAAGGATGACGTGGAGACAGTATGGTACCTGGAGAACTGTGAGGAGCTCAGAACAGCTGGAGCTCTGTGGGTGTGCAGGTTGTAAGTGTGCACACCTTGCCCTGTGTGTGGGCTGGCAGGTGCACGGTGGTGGTGATGTGTGGGAGGTGGTGGTGGTGTAGGGGTGGTGGTGGTGGTGTGGGGGTGGTGGTGGTGGTGTGTGTGGGGTGTGTGTGTGGGAGGTGGTGGTGGTGTAGGGGTGGTGGTGGTGGTGTGGGGGTGGTGGTGGTGTGGGGGTGGTGGTGGTGTGGGGGTGGGGGTGGTGTGGGGGTGTGTGTGGGGGGGTGTGTGGGGGGGTGTGGGAGGTGGTGGTGGTGTAGGGGTGGTGGTGGTGGTGTGGGGTGGTGGTGGTGGTGTGAGGGGGGTGGTGGTGTGGAGGGGTGGTGGTGGTGTGAGGGTGGTGGTGGTGGTGTGGGGGGGTGGTGTGGGGGGGGGTGGGGGGGGTGGTGTGGGGGGGGGTGGGGGGGTGGGGGTGGTGTGTGAGGGGGTGGTGTGGGAGGTGGTGGTGGTGTAGGGGTGGTGGTGGTGTAGGGGTGGTGGTGGTGGTGTGAGGGGTGTGGGTGTGTGGGGGGTGGTGGTGGTGT